CTCTTAGGTTCTGTGGCTAGTCTAAGAATTTAACTGACATAAGGCAGATTAATAGAAGAGCCTACAAATTTACTATTTTTACACGTACATGGGAGTCTCAGAAGGAAAAGGAAGATTCTCAAGAAGCCATTATCCCCCAATGGGTATGTGACGAGATAAAGACGGTTGGGCTAGTGGGAATAAATTGTGGGACAGTGACTAGGGAATATATGGAGGAAACTAATTGAGGGTCAGGGCTATTTTAGTAAGTTTGTGTGTACAGTTCCATTCCAGCATTGCCCCCAGTCTGTAGTGATGAGAACATTCTTCCTGGTGTCAGGAGGGCACCTTTCTCGGGAAATGTACAGACGTGCTTTTAGGTAGAAGCAGCAGGGCAGAGAACTTGCCCTGCATCTGGCGATTCTCAAGTGCCTTCAGCTCAAAATAGTCAATGTGCCAAAGTGGCATATTTTGGGGGGAAACATTCTGAACCCTTTCAATAACAGTGTCATGATTTCATGCTTAACGACAGAATTTGACCTCCCCACATTTCAGTATGCAGGGAAACTGAGAAGACCTAAAGGCAGTAAAGTAATTGCGGGAAGAAGACCTTCTAGCCACAATTTTTTCCTTTGAGTGATCAATCCAGACTCAGCATGACCCTTTGGACCCTCTTCTCTTAAAGGCAGCAGTCCCCCAGGAGCACACCAAGCTCAGGCTAATCTGCAATTCAGATGCCCCTGCACTCATGCCGTTTACCAGCAGTTACTGGCTGGCAGCCTCCAGAGCATATACATCATCTGTACCTGCTGAAAAAACCTCTGTGTTAGAGTCTGATGTCCCTATGGCACCAACTGCTTATTAGTGGGAAAAAAATTCCAAAATAAAACATGGCCCAATCATTTACCTTAACAAAAGATTTATTTGAAACGGGTTTGTGCAGACATACACCAGTCAACAGAATTGATCAAAGCCACAGATCACTACATTTTCCAAAACCTCTAAAAATACAAGTAAATGCCCTTCATTTGTATTCACTCCAGGAGGGAACCCAGTGCCACTGTAATGTGCTGCTATAATTTAACAACCAGAGGACATTAATAAGACGTGAAAATGGTAACACTTTGAGAGGGAGGGAACACAAAACCCCACACTCCACAGAAGTGCTCACTGCTCTGCTGGGAGCCAATTAAACGTGCCCCCACAGCCCGGCTCCTCTCTGCATAACCAGATTAAAACCTCCATGTCGCAAATAATATTTAAGTAATCTGAGCGCAGATGTGACAACAGACAGGAGAGCACATGGCTTTGCTTGCATGAGAAAGACACCACAAAGATGTTGCATTCAAACAGCAATCCAGTGACCTGCAGCCAGGGCGATCCACTGAGGCCACGCACCCGGCGGCTTCTGGCCGGCCCTGTGGGCGCCACCCCTGCCGCTGGCCGGGCAGCAGCTGTCACACTGCGCTTCAGAGGGAGGCCCGGAGGCAGGCAACACACGTGCTCCTGAGTCCAGCCATCACTGGTCACAGGGGAGAGGGAAGATGGGTGCAAGTGTCAGCCCTGGCATTGATTTTATTAATGAAAACCCTAAAGTATATTTCCTTGCTCAGCGATCTTGCTGGAAGGAGTTAACGCTCTATGACAGGGCAGATTTTCTCTGGCAGTTTTTGTCCCGGTTTTTCTTGATCCACCTGGCACTGAGCTACCTTAAGGAATGCGACTGAATCCAGTCCTGGTGGACGTGGGTTCACATCCTGATCTTTGGGCTCTCTCCCTCTTTCTGGCTCTCTCTCTTCCGCACTGAAGAGCTTGCCTATAAAAGGCTCTTGATAAGCTCTCTTGACCCTTGAGTTTCCTGGACAGTGTTATTTGGATAGTGCCATTACTTCAACTTTCTTCTTCCGATTTCTGTCATAAATCAAAGCCACCTGACACTTTGTTCCTGACTTTTAAAACGAACAGGTCTCCTTTCTTTCTTTAGCCAGGTCAGAAGAAATGCCAATGGACTAATCTTGTGTGTTTTTCTTGGTCTGATGCCTGGGAGAAACAGCAAAGTAGGTATCTCTAAGGCAACCAGGGTAAGAGGTTGTCACTGGAAAGTGAGCCAGTCTGGGTGTAAAAAGAATCATTCTTTTGTGTCCTTCAGTCAGGGGAACAGAGGAGCAGGGGAGAGTCTGTTTGTCAGACTTAGCATCTATGCATTAGGTCGGCGGGGCGGGGGGTAAGTAAGGCAATGGGTGAACTTTCCCCTCTTTTCTGCTTCCATTTCTTTTGTCGCTTCTGGCCACTTCGATTTATATTGGTTTAGCATCCTTTCCTTCCCACTGAAGACTGTGCCCCAATTCACAACTGACTCATACTCGCAAAACGAAGAGAGTTTTGAACACAGCCCCACTAGGAGCTTTGGCATTAACGAAGCGGTTGTGACAGGGAATGGAAGTGTGCGCTGTGGGACAATTCAGGATGAGAAAAAATACGTGAAAAGTGCAAACATCAAGTCAACTATTTCGGATCCACTCCTTTTGGCAATACTTATTAATATATCATTATGGGGGATCTGCGACCCATGGAAACCCTGCTAGCTACTCTTCTTGCCCTTCAAGATGGACCAATAGCTAGAATGAGGCTCAGTACTCTTTCCCAAGACTGCCCTGAGACAAAGAGCTGCCCTCAGCCCACGAAGAACCAGCAATAAAGCCAACTGGTGTACGCTCCTCCCTTTTATTGGGTGGGTGGGTGGCGCTTTATTTTCACTAGCTCCATCACTATTGTATTTGCCAATTTAAGTATTTGTGTAAGAAAGTATTTAATGAACAAGATGGGGGATGCCACCTTCTGACTTGACCTGATAAACACCTTTCTTTGCCAAGTTAGTATTTCAGGCTCTGCTTAACTATAACCACGGTTTCCCTGTACACATTTTTTATGGATCCCAGGAGATGAAGGCTACATTTCAAATGCTGAGGCTAAATCACTCCTTGAATAACGTTGGGACAATGACCCTGGGCAGTAATTCAAACCCTGGCTGAAATGTGTGCAGTTTTTTCACATGTTCAAAACTAAAGACAAACTTATCCTAGAGCAGAGTTTTGCAATCATTCTATTCAACTTATGATCTAAGCCATAAATCCGTAGGAACAAGAATATGATAGAAAGTTCTCTTCCTTATGGTTCAAAAAGTAAGATAAAGGGTCATTGTTATAACAAATGGAGATTATAGACTATAGCTTTATTTTTAAAATATTCAACCTTAAAGCCTCTAATATATATGTCCATATGCATTTTCAGATGTTAGTTCCCTATACTCACTTTTTTTTTCATTATTCACTGCTTCTTGACAAGTTATTACTGATTTTCACTGCCAGCTCCCTACAGCAATACCTGAAGCCTTGTCAAGGAAAAGAAAATGTCAACAGAGTCCTCAGCCTTGCTCTGCTGAAACCCAGGCTCACATTTTAGGATATTAATCCATGAGTGTTAAAGAAACAGTATCTCCTTTCTCCAAAGCACAGGCCCTGTATGCTGTACTGATCCAGAAAATATTGTTACATGTATGCATGTGTGTGGGAGATGGGAGAAGGTATCATGGGTCAAGAAGCCTGGAATATTCTGCCTAGAGACAAGACACTTTTAGCTACATCCCCCTGTCATTGCAAAGCCCATTCTGATCAGCAATGTAGTGCTAATCTAGGCAGCCAAGCATAAATGGTTGGTGAATATCCTGCTGTCTTCTCCCTTTTCAATATACGCTTTCCGTAGCCACCCTTGCCTGCCCATGCCTGTGTGAAGCTGAGCTCAGGACCAAGTGCTCCAAGTGGCTGGTCTCATTCTGCAGAGTCAGCAGAACGGGACATAGGCTCAAACAAGAGTTGGCAGTCTGCCTGTGTGCAACACTAGACCAGGGCTGAGCCTGAGTGGATGCTGCCACTTTAGCCCAACTCAGAGGCAGGAGCTGCAGTGCTGACTATGACCTGCCAGGCTGTGTGTCACTTACTGTGTAGCAGAGTGACAAGTCCCATGTGGCATTTTCACTGAGCTGACAGCCAGAGTATGCAACTTAGTCCAGTCCACCCTGCTCCCTGGGGAGGGGTTGTGTGTGACACTGACCTCAATTTAAAGATAGGACAAATGTCACAGCCTGAGTCAGTGCTGTCTAAATAATCTACATCATACATAGTGACAGCTGCTCCTCCTAGAAACCCGATTTAGCCATTTGGCTACAAGATAGCTTAATTGTATGAGAGAATAAATAGGACGGCATCACATCAACTGTTTTCTTCTCTGTGTGTATTTCATTATTGCAAAGACTATTTGGAATACTTCTCAAGAAAATTGGAAAATATACTTAAATCTCAAAAATGTGAACTGCATTTTAATGTAGAAAATAAAAGACGGAAAGCCCAAAATAAACACGCATACACACGATAATTCACAAATATGATTCAGAAGGCTTTAAGTTCAAGAGAGGGGTAAGTGTTTGACAAAGAACTGAGTCTGAGTTCCCTCTTTCCAAATAGCCTTAGTTCCAAATGAAACCAAATAGTCAGGAAGTCTAATGCACATTCAATTCTCATTTTCAACTCTCCTCTGTATTTAGACCATCATCTTTCTTGGTGTGCAATAAAGACGCACCTTGGTTTGTGTTAATTAGACTTTTTCCCCTGTAATTTCAGCATGATAGTCCTTCAATGATTCGTCTTGCTGGGTGCTATAGCATTTAAATGTTTCATCACCTTGGGGAGGAAGAAGTGACAATTTTCTGAGCCTTACCTGTTAATTGCTTTGTCCTACTCCCCCTCAAGCCCTGGATCCTGGTCACCTCTTAAGTGAGGTATTCATTTTCTTTTCTTTTTTAAAATTATATTTTATTCATTATGCTATTATAGTCATCCTGATTTTTCCCCCTCTGTCCCCCCGAACCCAGCAGCCCCCACTCCCTCAGGCAAACCCTCCACCATTGTTCATGTCTATGGGCCATGCGTATGAGTTCTTTGGCTACTCCATTTCCTGTACTGTACTTTACATACCCAGGGCTATTCTGTAACTATCTATTTGTACTCCTTAATCCCCTCATCTCTTCACCCATTCCCCAACATGCCCCTCCCATCTGGCATGATTCTCTGAATCCATGATTCTGTCTCTTCTTTTTGTTTGCTCAGTTTGTTTGTTTTTTTAAAGATTCAATTGTTGCTGGATTTATATATTTTTGCCATTTTATTGTTCAAAGTTTTGATCTTCTTCTTTTTCTTAAGTAAGTTCCTGTAGCTTTTCATATAATAATGGTTTGGTGATGATGAACTCCTTTAATTTTTCATCTTGGGAGCTCTTTATCTGCCCTTCGATTCTAACTGATATGTTTTCTGGGTAGAGCAATTTTGGCTGTAGGTCCCTGTTTTTCATCACTTTGAATATTTCTTGCCAATACCTTTTAGCCCGCTAAGTTTCTTTTGAAAAATCAGCTGAGAGTCTTATGGGAACTCCCCTGTAGGTAACTAACTTTTCCTCCTGCGGCCTTTTAAGATTCTCCCTTTATATTTAAACTTTGGCATTTTAATTATGATGTGTCTTGGAGTGGGCCCCTTTCATCCATCTTGTTTGGAACTCTGTGCTTCCCGGACTTGCATGTCTATTTCCTTCACCAAATTAGAGAAGTTTTCTTTTATTATTTTTTCAAAAAGAGTTCCAATTTCTTACTCTTTCACTTCTCCTTCTGGCACCCCTATGATGCAAATGTTGGACCACCTGAAGTTGTCCCAGAGACTGCTTATACTGTCCTCATTTTGGATTCTTTTTTTCTCCTTGTTGTTCTCATTGTTTGTCTTCTGCTTCCTTATGTTCCAAATCATTGATTTGATTCTTGTCTTCATCCCCTCTACTGCTATTTCCCTGTAAATTGTTTTTTATTTCAATTAGTGTATCCTTCATTTTTGACTGGATCGTTTTTATGCTGTTGAAGTGCTCTCTAAGTTCCTTGAGCATGCTTATCATCAGTATTTTGAACTCTGCATCTGATAGATTGCTTATCTCCATGTTGTTTAGTTCTTTTTCTGGAGTTTTGACCTGTTCTTTCATTTGGGCCATGTTTCTTTGTCTCCTCATTTTGTCAGTCTCCCTGTGTTTGTTTCTATGTGTTAGGTAGAGCTGCTATGACTCCATATCTTGGTAGTGCGACCTAATGTAGTAGGTATTATGTAAGGTCCAGTGGAACAGCCTCCTCTATCACCCAAGGTGGGCACTTGAGGTTTGCCCTGCATGTGGACTGAGTACACCCTCCTCTTGTAATTGAGCCTTGGTTGCTGTTGGCAGATCAAGGGGAGGAATTTACCCAGGTCAGTCAGCTGCAAGGATTGGCTGTGACCACTTACCACCAACCTCTGCCCTCTGTGGAGGATCAGCTGTGCAGGGGCAGGGTGGTGGTGCTCCGACCAGGTATGTAGGTGTCCACTGGGTGTGAAGGTCAAGGTCAGCCCCCACCTGTGTTTTTCCTGGGGCCACCCTGCCTGAGCTATAAAGATATCTGAGATGGCTGCTATTTGTGCTGGGCTTGGAGATTCCCAGGTGATGCCAAGCTGTGATTCTAGGCTGGCTGCTGCTAGTGCTGGACCGAGGGCTCACTGAAGCCAGCTGTTACTTGTTTGAGAGGATTCAGGAAGTTGTTAAGCATGAGCTAAGACCAGCCATTCATATGGAAAAGTGGCTTGAGTTGGCCTGTAATTTGGGTGGGGCAGAGTCTCTGGGTATCTCTGAGGCAGGTCAAATAGTGTTAGCCAGGTTGTTGAAGTCTCAGATATGGCACCAGCTTACTGGCTCAGTCTGGATGGATGTGGTTTCTTTAATTCCATAGTTGTTAGAATTCCATTGAACTCAATTTCTGATGGTTCTGAGTGATGGTTGTTGTATATTTTAGTTGTAATTTTGATGTCGTTCTTGAAGTGGCATGCCATGTCTGTCTATACTGCCATCTTGATCAGAAGTCAGGGATTAGTTTTCTTCGTCAATGCAAAATCATTCTCTAAATTATTTCAATGCCTGATAAGCTGTAGATGTTCCAAAAATAAAGAGTTAGGAAGCAGAGTGCACTGTTGTTCTATTTCCTAATTTAGTACAGCTATTCCCAGAGGAACTGTGCCACTGTAACCAGCAACAGCTGTCCAGAAGTATTTATGTTAAGCCATCCAAAAATTTGGTTTGGCAACCAAAGCAGAGTGGAGAGAACGTGCCTCCAGGCTGGTCATTTATTAAGGGCTCCAGGTGCTCACATAGCTGCTCAAAGGCATCGAGGTTCTGTCCAAATTTAGAACAAGGGGCTCTCCAGTTTGGAAAGTCAATGACGTCCCTTCCTCATTTTATACTCGGGATACCTCCTACTGTGAGCAGTGCCTGTATCTAACACTGACTGAATAAGGAAGGATGCCTGTTGGTATAAAAAAAGGTGTTGAAATGTTTTGAATTCTTTGCAATTAAAACTGCCTGTCAACGTCATGTTTAACCTCCTGGACATATTAGGCTGATCAGGACAATCGTCTGGGCATCAGGGCTTGATTTCAGAATTTTTGCTCAGAGTCGGTGGGAAATGTCCCCTATGTCCTCCTCCCTGTGTCTGTGTCCTTGGTTGGTGCTTTCTCCTTCCATGGCCACCCTCCTCCCCCACACCCAGGGGCCCTTACTCTCTCATCTGGGTTTGCACATCCTCTCTGGTTCTAGAGCTACAGAGCGACAGGTGTGTTCCTTCGCTGGGGAGTTGTGCTCTAAATTCATTCATTTTCCAACAGTGACAATCCAAAATGTGCCCTCAACTCCCGAGAAGACAAGTGTGGGTTCTAAAGTTACACAGATGCCAGGGGTCCAGTTGTCTGGAAACTGGGAAGTGAGTACTGAGAACCTGACCAGAGCATGTCTCCACCACCGCCCTGACCCACAGGCTTCCCTCACCACAAAGAGGAATATAAACATTTAGAATATATGCAGAAAAGGGTGAATGGAAGAAGGGATTTCTTGCACATGTATCTGGATCTGTGGAAGAAAGGGTGTGGACTCCGGTTGTTGCCCACCAGCAGCCATGCACTGAGCACGGTGGCTAGCCATGCACGTCTGGGACGAGGAACTTGAATGAGTGGGAGGGTTGGGTCGGAAGGCACCTGGGAAGGGCGCAGGAGATTCTGTTGGACATCAATGGTTTGTCCCACTGGGAATGTGGCAAAGAGGTTCAAACCAACGTTCTCAGGTTTCCCACCCAGATACACATATTTGTGATTTCATTGCTACCAAGAAGTTTATGCCAACTTCATACAAACAAAATAGGAAACAAAGCAAGACAGCAACCTGCCTAAAGTAAAGTTTACATGCTGCCCTGTGGACTTAATCTGTGAGGTAACAAAACAGGAAGCAAGGGTGTCCCAGCTCCCCTGCCACAAGGTGGGTTTCTCACGCAACATAAAACTCTTTTATCTTTCCTCCCAGAACAACTTGTACTGATGTCTAAATATCGGTGAAACATAATGGTTTTAATTTCACACTTCACAGAGCACAGTTGAATGCTTCATAACAAGGTAAACAAAGGTTAGGCCAAGCACTGCAGACAAATTGTGAGGGAGAAATGGCTTCTCCCATGGTACATACCCCAGGTTTGCACAGGAATATATAACTAACAAACTGGTTGGCTAAGGCCACAGAAATGTGTTTTCCCGTGTTTTGGCTGCTGACACCAGTCTCTTCTGACAAAAACGTATTAACAATGGGTACAACAAACTGCATCTCTTTCCTAGCATTAATCGGGGAAACTTGACTTATTTCTGCCTTGATTTCTTTTTGGTGGTATCATAAGCACGAACAATTTCTTCCTGAGTGACAGCTCCATGTTCTTCTTGAGAGAAGGCGTACCCATCTGAAAGAAGCACACGGGAGGAAGTGGTTAAGGGCTGAATTGGGGGAGTGCACTAGGCTTGGAAGAAGCTGTGTTTGGGGAGACTGCTGCTAAACTTCCACACATGAGCCTCATCAGCAGTGGGCCAGTGGGCGCCTGAGACCAGAAGCCTGTGACCCAGAGGGGAGCGGGGGTAGTGTGGGAATGATGGCAGGACACAGCCTGGCGGGCCGGGTCCCCGGGGTTCTGGCTGCTGATGCTGGGATGGGAATGGCGCTGAGGGGCAGCCTCCCATTTAGGGGGCTGCAGCTGAGTTCAGCTTGGGAAGCATAAACAGTGGGTCACTGGTCCATGTCTGCACTTTCCCACCACCAATCAAGTTGTTCTGCTCCGGAAATGTCCCAATGCGCCTGAAGCTGCAGGCCGGCTGGGTAATTTATGAAGCTGTAAACATGCTGGGGAAAACACGCACACGCTAATAGTGAAAGATGGCAAAGAGCACGTGATGCTCGGAGAGTTCCTGTTTTTAAATTGGGCTGATTTGTGCTGGTAATAAGAAATTACAGTGGGTTTATATTTATGTAAACAAAGAAAAAGATCACAAGATAAAATCAAGAGGCCCTGATTGGCCCTGTGGTCATAAGAAGACTAGTTCTTACAACCAGTTCCAGTAGTAGTAGTAGTAGTAGTAGTAGTAGCAGTAGTAGTAGTAGTAGTACTAGTAATAATAATAATAGCAGCAGCCAAAAATTATTAAATGCTGTGTGTATCAGGTACTGTCCTATGTACTGTGCACAAATAACTCATTTATTTTCCTCAACAGTCCTATGAGATAGATGCTAGTATATTTCCCATTTAACAGATGGGAAAACTGAAGCATGGCATGATGTCATTACCTGCCCAAGGTCCCAGACTTAGTGAGTGGCAGAATTTGGAGCCGGACCCAGGCAGTGTTTCTGCAGGGCCCACACGCTCCCGTATCACCAGCTCTGAGAAAAGTTTAGCTCCGGTAAGCCCAGGCGGGGCTCTCCTTCCTCACTGGCTCTTCCCATAGATGGGACATTCACCAGAGTCCCTCTCTGTCGGCTCACCTTCTGGATGAGACGTTCTGACCAAAGACAACACAGTAAAAAGGCTGACAGTGGTGACTCTGCCTTTGCATATTTGTTACTAATTGACAGAGCTCCTAGTTAATTGTCATGGTCTTTAAAGGAGAAACAGAAATCGGAAATTCTGCCCATGGATCATCTCCTGGATTGCTAATTATTTTACTCAGACCTCTGGCTTAAAAAGAAGAGTTCCTAGAGTATAAAGATATACAATAACGATGTGTAAGAGACTTTGAGGGGACAGAGAAGAAGAGACTTTAGAAGAGTCTCAGGTGACCTCTTCACTCTGTGGATGCCCATCAACTCAGAGCTCCTGTCCCTGGGCTGGCTTCCCAGTTCTTCTGGAGAGCATGCCTCTCAGCCTCACCTGAGAAAACCCGAGAGCTTGGGAGGGCCACCCAGGAGGCCAGAGCTGGTCTCCAGAGGTAGGCTGGGGCTGGCTGAGGACACGGCAGCAGGAGTGGGGGTGGGGGGTGAGAGGTGGAGGGTAGGGGGGTGGAGTGAAGGCAGAACCAGACAGCCAGCCTGACAGAACAGAGAGCAATCTTCCACAGGGTACTCTTGTCGGCTCGCTAACTCCATTGCTAACGAAATCTAACCCCCAAACCCCCAAATCTCACCCTGCATGGTAGCCAGGGGAAGCAGCTGCCCCCAGGCCACCGTGAGCCCCACCTAGCTGGGCACTGAGTGGGCATGTCTGGAGCAGAAAGGCAGAAGCAGGCAGCCTGGAGAGGGGGCTGCTGGCTCATTCAGGCCCTGGGCCCAGCACACTTGAACTTCCTCACAATGGGTTTCCACACAAGGAGGTTTTGCTTTGAGACTCATAGCCTTGGAGGCTGCACAGAATCTGAAGAGGAAACACTCCTTTGCATCCCGTTTCCCTGACAGCTTGTAGATTCCCCTGAGTTGCTTGGTCAGACATGACCAGGGCCAAGGAAACCTCCATGATGCCCAGCTCTGATGGGCAGCTCCTCACCTGCCTCCTAGACTCCCTCCCTCCGTCCCTCTTTCCCTCTGTCCCCTCCCTCCTGGTGCTGGGCTACCAGCCTGTCCCAGCATAAGTGCTCTTTGTGCAGCGTCTTCACTGCAGTCCTAGAAGAGACGCCTTTCCTTGGGATGTTTCAAAGCAAAAGCTAGCAAATAACCCTGTCTCCTCCAGTGACAAGACTGTGAACTGTGGTCAACTTGGACAGTTTTCATTCTGTGGTCTTTGAAAGCCAATGCTTGTAGTGAACGCCTGGTGTTTTGGGGAGGGGACCCATTGCGGCTGTCTCTGGATCTCCGGAGCCTCTGAAATGACAGTCCTGCCACGGCTCTGTGGCACCCCAAGCGGACGCTTATCAACCGGACAGAAGTGGCTCTGGTCCCAGGCAACGGGAATGCTTTGTAAGTGCTCTTCATGAACGCTTCTGGGGCAGGGTTGACTACTGTGCCTTCCACCCTGAAGACAGCTTTCCAATCTGCTCTGCTTTCATCACAGATTTGGGTATCTACGGCTGAGGCACTGGGGGCAAGAAGGGCTGGTTCTAACCCCTGCTTGGCAGTAATTCAGCCATGGGACCATGGGCTCTTTCAGCTCGCTAGGTCTCCTTGGTTTACTTTTATGTAAAAACAAAACAAAAACAGCCTGGACCAGGTGAGGTCCAGATTCTCACAGCTCTGGTCCTCCATGTGGGCACTGTTATTGTCCTGGCTAACCGTCCCCAGGCTACAGAACCCTTGCCTTTGTTCAGGGCCAACTCACACTAGGCACCAACAGGGGAGTCCTCTACCTCCATGCCAGAAAAGAAAGGTGCCTGTCTCAACAATCAGTCCAAAGAGAACAACTGCTACCTATCTTTTTGGATGTTTTTTTTTTTTGGGGGGGGGGGAGCGGTGGTAAGGGGTAGAGGGGAAAGAATGAAAGAAACTTGTTGAGACAGAAACATTCTTTCAGAGCATCCTTTTGAGAAAGGCATTTTAGCATTTGGAACTGTCTATGCCCTTTTATGTATTCTCTTTTTCATTCATATCTGCCTGCGCCTACTGGGAAGCCAGCTGCAGTGGCTTCTTCTGCCTGTAGTGGGATGGCGCTGTCAGCTTCTATCTGCTTCCCTCACACGAGGGCCTTCTGGTGGGATTATTCAGCCACTCACTCTCCAGCAGAAGAGAAAGGAGAGAGGGGCTCCTGGTCCAATAACAGATCTCTTCCCTTGGGGCAAGCAGAGCACCCAAAGGTCACTACCAAGTTGTTTCTCTGCTAGTTCCCTTTAGCTGCATCTGATATCATGTTTCCAAAAAGTTATACACTAAGACTTTCTGAACCAGACTTAATCTCAACTGAGACTGAAAGTGGACTTCATAACTCAAGAACAAAAGGAGGATGGCCTGATAGGATTATCCTGGGAGCGGAGGTGTGTCCCTGGCTCTCATAAAATATGCTGGGGGGTGGGGGTTAGAGTAATAATTGGAGAAGTTTTAGTGGGACAATAGCATTTGTGAGCCCCAAGTGGGCCCTGCACCCCTCAGCCTGACAAAGACACAGTATCAGTTCACCAGCTTCTGCCCGATGAATGTTTAACTGCCATTGGCACCCAAACAGGGAGCTCACAGAGGAAGCTTCCAGCTCTTAGCATTTCCCACTTCCACATGTCTTTCAGGAAGTCCTGAGCCACCAAGTACTGATGGGGCCTGGAGAAAGCACTCAGCTTGAGCTCTCCCTGGCTGCCCTTCTAACGTTCCTGCCTCCTACATCCTCAGCCACAGCCAGAATCTGTGGGTACAGAGTGGGGTAGGTGAAAGGAGATGAAGAGGAAGGTGAATTTTAGTTATTTTGACTAGTCCTGGTAGAACATTTTGTGATGTTTATAAAATCATGTCATTCTTTTCCCCCATTTTTATGGAATAAAACTCCCCTTAAGCAGCATTCTTTTGAATATGAGCTCTTATAATATCTTAAAGAAAGTGGCAGTTTCCTGTCTGAAAAAATATTCCTAATAAGAGGAGAAAATGGGAAATACTGTGGGGCGATAAGGTTATTAGACCAGGTAGGAAACTCTGCTCTCCCTAACACATACTGTGTCAGTGGCTCATAAGGAACTAAAAGTACTTCCAAGATTAGAGTATTTTTCCAGTTTCTGGGAAGACCGAGGCCCAAGAAAGACAGACCCAGCAGGACATCAAGGCCCAGATCAGCTGTGCAGAACTTTCCACATGCCGGGAGCGGTTCTGAATGTTTGATGAGGCGCCTTCTCCAGTTGAGGATGTACACAGTCTATTATCAAACAGGTTCTTACTACTGATTTCTGGGTGTTTTTAAAATGTACTGTGATTTTAGAAGCTTTTTGATTTCTTGTGTTTCTTCATTAGAATTTTTTTGTCCTTCCAAATGTTGTGATTTAAGCAAAATGTTTAGTAGTTGTTTTAAGACATTTTATGACTCTTCCACTTGGTCTTTGATCTACACAGTTGACTCCTGAACAACAGAGGTTTGAATTGTGTGGGTCCATTTATATGTAATTTTTTCAATAAATACTGTAAATGTATTTTATCTTCTTTATGATTTTGTTAAGAACATTTTCTTTTCTCTAGCTTACTTATGAATATTTAAGTAATACTTATTTAAGAATAGAGCATCTAATACATATAGCATATAAAATATGTGTTAATCAACTGTTTATGTTACCGGTAAGGCTTCCGGTCAACAGTAGGCTATAAGTTTTGGAGGAGTCAAAAGATACATGCAAGTTTTCAGCTGTGGTGGGTGCCCCTAACACCTTCCTTAGTCAGAATCAACTGTATATATAATATATCGCACATATTCTTTCTATGGTTACTTTGAAACATACAATAGAGAAGCAGCGTGGCTCCCTGGCATGAAATGGTGGTTTGAAAACCAGTATGCATTTTCTTTGTGTCCATTACATCATCGTGAATCCTCGCAAAGACTAAGGAGGCTTATATTATTATAATTCTATTTTCCCTCCAGAGGATAAAACAAAAATTTAGAGAAATAGGTGAGTTTCCCAAAGTTTCTCAATTAGTGGCAGAAAAAAAAAATACATAGTTAGTACCTAACATTTATTGAACTCTGTATTGTCAGGCACTATTCTAGGCACTTTATGATCTCATTTAATCCTCCCAACGACTCCAGGTGATTTCTCCTATCATCTGCATTTTACAAATATAGAAACAGAATGGTTACTTTGCCTAAGATCACAAAAAAGTGGCCGAGCCGGGGCGGGAAGCCAGGCAGCGCAGCCCCAGGGGCTGGCCTCCCACGCCTCACTCCTCGGACTTCCCCAGCCAGCCTCCTGGCTTGACTTCTCTCTTGGATCAGAGACGCCACAGCCGGGATCCCGACTGCTGGCCCGTGCTGGGCCGGTTACTGTACTGACCTGAGCCTCTGCCAGGTGCTCTTGGGGCTGACACCGCTCCCTCCTGGGGCCGTGGAGTATTAAAGGGCACACCAAGCGGGCGAGGCCCTACAGGGAGGCCTCAGCCCCTTTCCCTCATGCTGCTATTCCAGTGGGAAAGTGAGGGGAGAAAGTGAGAGGGGTACTATTCCACCCCTTTACCTCTCTCTCAAATGAGAGAAAGTCTGCAAAGATCTGTTGATAGGTGGAGATCAATTAAACATGACATAGGCCCTTGAATACCTGTCCTATGGATACAATCGTTATTTTCTCTAACCTATTCTTGGTCTACCAGTTGTTTCTCTCTCACCTCCTCAGGGATAGAAAGGGAAGCAGGAATTGGGGCATGGGCTGAAGAGATGGCATGTGCATGTGTAAGAGAGGGCGTGTGGGCTGGAGAGAGAGGCAGGGTTCAGGGAAGCAGGGGCCCACGGGCCTACAGGCCCCGGCATGAATTGAACCTTCACTTCTAATGACACCCCTCAGCTGGGAGCAGAATGGCTGGATCGCTCAAGTGCGCCCACAGCCTCCCCTTGAGTGCCAGCACCCCATCTGCCTTTCATGGCCTCCCCTCCCTGCTCCTCTGGGCTCTGGTGCATCCCCAGAGACCCCTGCTCAGCTCAGGCCCCCTCAGCAGAAACTAGGCTGGGGCTTTGGCGCTCAGAGTGGGGACACTGCTGCGCCACGCCGGGCAGCCTTCCTGGGAAAAGCGCAGAGATTTTTTTTTTTTTAAACCGGTGATTGGCATTGTTTTAATTAATATACTAATATTAAATAAAACCCTGCATATTGCTATGTTTGGGGAAACAATTTAAAAGTAATATCTCTTCGACCTTAGAAAAAATGCTACTGGGAGGCTGACAGGGGATCTTAACCACATCAGGATTTTAAGTTCAAGGATTTTGTCATGCAGGCATTTGATTGGGTCCCAGGGAACTACCCATATTCGAGCTGTACTTGCCTCAGGCCAAACACACGAATTTCACTTCCAAACGTGGGGCTCCAGCTTGGCAGCTGTCTCCGTCCCCATTAACAACACCCAGGCCTTCATTAAGCTACCCGCGTCCCTGCGTGGGCCGGGTCTCGCAGCCTGAGTGGGCTGGCCGTGACTACTTACGTGGAACATTCTGCTGGAGGGAACCTCCTCGGAAGAGAGTGGGGGGCGTCTTCCTGCTGAGCCTCTTTAACAAGCGGTCTCGCTCATTCATCCTGCAGGTAAAGCAAATGCGGTCAGCCTCTAATTCACAAGGACACATCTCAAAAGGTACTCACTGAATGACTTCAGGTTGTAAAATAAAACAGACAGGGAGCAAAAGCTTCCTTCCCCACGTCAAGAAAAATCTCCAGTTTCGCAAGCTGCCCCGTGTTGACTGTAGATGCTATCTCGACACTTGGAGGGCATGGCTCTTGCTTCTAAAAGGCACTCTGTTTTCAGTCCGCCCTGTACACAACGCCTCTGAACCCTGCCTTCCTCTTAATGGAAGTGCACTACAAGTACCCTTTCATACCAGGCAAATCCTTGGCTTCCCAGAACACTTTTGAAGGAGTGATCTGTTTCTATGGTAAATGTCTGAAAAGCCTCAACCCCACCTGCAGCTGCCTTTCCTCAAGCCAGTAACCGGTACCAGGGCCAGAGCCTCACCCAGGTGCCTCAGGACCCCAGCAAGAGCCAGGCTTCTTTCCACAGAACCCGATGTTTATTCTGAACCACAATAAAAATCAAGGTGAGTTTTCTTTGAAAACACAAGGATTAGAAGCTCTTCCTGCCTTTCCTGAAGTTATTTCCTCTAAGGTTGCCAGAGCTGTGAACAGATACGGAGCTACCCTGGAGGACAGCTGTCTTCATTCCTATGAACCACAGTGTGTGCTTGAAAATTGTCCAGGTGGACAAAGCGCTTTGATTTCTTACCATCAGGATGTCACTCTGCTCGCTCCTGATGAGATTTGAGATTTCTGGTGTCCAGGAGTTTGCCGGTGCCCTCCATTAGAGGGTGAACTGTGCCCCCGCCCCCTGCCCCACATTCATGAGTTAAAGTCCCAACCCCCAGTACCGCAGAATGTGACTGTATTAAAAGACAGGGCTTTTAAAGAGGTGATGGTGTTAAAATGAGGTCATTAGGATGGGCCTTAATCCAGTATGACTGGCGTCCTCATGAGGAAAGGAGACTAGGACACAGATGCATGCAGAGGAAAGATCACGTGAAGACAAAGGAAGAAGACAGACACCTGCAAGCTCAGGAGAGAGGTCTCAGGAGGAACCAACCCTGACGACACCTTGATTTTGGACTTGCAGTCCCCAGAGCTGTGAGACAATAACTTTCTTTTGTTTAAGCAGCTGCAGTCTGTGGTATTTTAATGGCAGCAAATATGCCCCCAATCTGCCATTTGTGGGACCTTGGGTTGTTTAAGGACCTGCAGTTGCCTGGGATCCAAAACACCCCCCGACCCCCTGACCACAGTCCATGTCATGGCTCCCCCAGGGTCCTTCGAAAGAGGAGTGGGACCCTGGGTATTCCAACAGTTCTATGAGCCGAAGCTCATTTTGTTCTTGGGTTTCCAGAAGAGAGAACTTTCTGACTCTCTTGGTTGAAAGGACAATGTTTGCTTAATCACCAACTAAGGGTAAGTCTGAGCTAGCTGAGCTAGGCAGTGTCTGATGGCTTATGAGGGAAAAAAAACCCAACACTTTTTCTGTCCCTTCACGCTGTCTTCCCCTTCCCTCTCTTATCTTTTTTCTCCCACAGGCAAACTGATCTCACTGGGCCCCGCTGAGCAACTGCCCCGGACCGCAGGGCTGCGTAGATGAATGACGGGGGAGCCTGTGAGTATGACGTCCCTCTGTGTGGCCACTGTCGCCTGACCACCTGCAGTGCCCTGGGATGGCTGGCTTCAGGACCTCAGGAATATACCGAAGGGCCATCCTCCCTGTCTGACCCTGGAAGGCACTGTGTGTAGAAGTGCTCACCGAGAGCTGGACTGCAGGTTCCCGGGGCATCCTTCCGAGCCTTCCTGATTGACAAGGCACTCCCTCCCCAGAAACCTAGGGGACAGGCAGGGCTATGCTCTGCCACCAGGCCCATCGTCTGCCCTGGCCATCCATGGTCCCTCTGAGATTTCAGGTCCAGGAGCTCCTCCTAGTGATGGGGCTTAGGAGACTTCACAGAACCATGTTGGTGGGAGGGGCCTTCTTGCTGGGCAGGTGAGGAAACAGAGACTCTGCTGTTTTAAAGCAAAAGGTCACAGGGCACTTTGCTGGTAGTGCTCTCACCTCTGCCTCTGTGCTAGGCAGGCGTTCCCAATTCCCTCGTGGAATGGTGTATGCTTTTCTCTCTCCCTCTCTCTTCTTTTTTTTATAATGAAATATTCCAAACACACAGACACAGCCAGAAACCAGTACAGTGAGCGTACACTGACCCATTTGGCTTTAGCAAATGACAGCACCACCCTTAGACCCTGTGCTTCAGAGGGACCCACTCCATCCCGCAGCCCTACCTCCCACATGGTGAGGGGTTCACGGGGCCAAGCTCTGGCCTACCCAGAGCCCGTGCCTGTCTTCACACCCCAGGTATTTGGGACCTTAGATGTTCCTGCTCAGTGTGACCTCCAAACGGGCATCCACAGCTAACCTGACCTCCTTGCTAGCTCCATTCTTCTAAAAGTAGGCCATATAGCCAGTGTCCACACTTCTAGGCCTATGTGAGTGGCCAAGGGGTAGTTTTCTGCATGAGATGTATGGACTGGGATGTCCCCATGTATGTGCACATGTCCCTGCCCAGTGCAGGACAGAGCTGGGATTGGCAAGGGAGGGTGGAATGCACAAGACAGCTAATTCTTCCCCATGTCACTACTTTCTGGTTCAGACTTTCAAAGAATCTGGGACTCACCAAGCACTGCCATCTTTATGAAGGTATATTCGTCAAGGAATATAGGTGCCTAGTGGTTGATTTATAACTTTCACTTACTTAGACATGGTGCTTGCTCTCCCCATTTGTATTTGTGCACCCAGTCCTGCAAATGTCAGGAGTGAGCCTAGCTGGGAGAGCTACTTCAGATTATTATTATTATTTCTTCTATTTATTGGTTTGAGAGGGGGGAGAGGGTAAAGGGGGAGAGGGTGAGGGAGAAGAAGGGGGAGAGAGAGGCAGGGAGAGAGAGACATTGATTTGTTGCTTCACTTATTTATGCATTCATTGGGTGATTCTTGAATGTGTTCTGACTGCCTCCCTGCAACCCTGGTGTACTAGAACAATATTCTAATCAACTGAGCTACCAAGCCAGGGCAGAACTACTTCAGAGTTTAACAAAATAATGAAATATCAAATATAAAGTCTCCTTATACTGCCCTCTGATTCTATTCTTTTTTACTATAATAAAGTTAGAAATAATCTTTTGTTTATATGTCACACTTTTGTTCTACATATATATATGCATGCATTCACATTAATATATAATTATGTTTTAAAATATGTCTAAATGGAATCATTTATTTTATGCTTCCAGTTTATCATATTTTTGCTTTGTTCCTTCCTTTTGCCTTTCTTGTTTACTTTGAATTATCTACTCATGTAAGGGGACAAGTTAATCTGTCTTTTCTTCTGAATACTTTTATAATTTTCTTTGTCTTTGGAATTGTGCAGCTTCATTATAACACTTAGTATGACTAGGTGCAGGTTTGTTTTTATATCCTGCTCATTGCCGTTCAGAAAATGCAAATCAAAGAGACAGCACTTAACATCTGCTAGGATGGCTATAATAAAAAAGAAACAAAAAGCAGAAAATAGCAAATATTGGGGAGAATGTGGAGTAGGTGGAACCCTAGCACATTACTGGTGGTACTGTAAGATAGTACAGCCACTGTTCTTCAGTAAGGCCAGCATGGAGTCAATGTATCACTCAGAAATTCCACTTCTAGACATACACCCAAAAGAATTATAAACAGACTCAAACAGATACTAGTACACCAATATCTGAAGCAGCATTCAGATAGCCAAAGGATGGAAACAATCTAAATGTCTATCAACAGATAAACAAAATGTACAGCCACTCAGTGGAATATTATGCAGCCATGAAAAGGAACGAAGTCCTGCTGTATGCTACACATGGGTGAACCTTGAAAACATTATGGTAAGTGAAAGAAGGCAAAGCAAAAAGGCCATATATTGCATGATTCCATTTATATGAAATGCCCAGACTAGGACATTTCATACAAATATCCTATTAATGTAGATATAAATGTCGATATAAATGTAGAGACAGAAAGAAGAATAGAGGTTTCCAGGGACTGTAGGGTGGGAGGTATGAGGGGAGAGGAAGGGGAGAGACTGCTTAAAGCATATGCGGTTTCCTCTTGGGGAGATGAACTATGTTCTAGAACTAGACAGTGGTGATGGTTCCACAAGCCTGTGAATGTGCTAAATGCCACTGAATTGTACACTTTGAAATGGTAAATTTTATGTTAAGTGAATTTCACCAGTGTTTTTAAAAAAGAAAGTTCGATTAAAAAAACAAAAAGGAAGGGGACAGCGTCCTGAATTGAGGTCCATTCCCTCCCATCACCTGAACTGTTGGTTTATTTTTCCTGTGGTGGAGGGACGTTAGAGTTAAATGGCTTTCTTTCATTTTTTTTCCTATCCTAGCTTAGCATGTATGCTGGCTGGGACCTACAGACATGAAAGGTGCGTGTAAACAAAAATTGCCCAGAGGTCCACGCACTCCTGGTGCCTTCCCAATAATAATGACAAAACTCAGTCTCACACAGGTCCCTACACCAGGCTCTGCTAGGAAGCTGACACGAGGGGTGGTGTGCTCCTGTCTCAAAAACTGAGCAGAGTTAAGAAGGAGCAGGGAACTGAGAAGCCTATGTTGGGAAATAATAAACTTACGTCTGCAGTTTTGTCAGGAGGCGATTCCTGCAAAAACAGCACACGCGTAACTGCCAAAGCACAGGAGCATGGAGAACGTGGCAAATAACTGTAAATCTGTTTTAAAATCCTGTCCATAATTACGGCTGGTAGGAATCACAGCTGACACCTCAACAAATCCAAAAACAAATAGGTATTTTTAGAAACTTATTTTAAAAGTAATGCTGGACTGTTTTTAAAACGTAAATCTAATAGGCTCCTCAAAAAAAAGCTTGTCCAAAATTCCCTTTCCTTCAGATAAGGCCAAACATCTACCAACCTATCTGAGTGTGGAAATTCTAGCCTATT